GGGCAGAGAGGTCGGGTCAAACGGGCCGGAACGGGGGTAGCTCGGCAAAGCAGTGAGCGAGGACCGCGAAAGTCAAGCGAAATTCAATCCAAGAGTTGCTGTTTTAAATTTAAAATTGTACGAGCCGTCGCCCCCCCCCCCCTTAAAAAATTGCTTGCAAGAGGACGCATGTGACTGTGGTGGTGGTGATGGTACAGGGAAACACAGTGCACTCAACTCCTGCCCCGATGTGCCTTGGGTAATAACCACACCGACTAGTGCCTGGTGGGGGTGGGGTTAGGGGTGGGGGTGGTGGGGCCCGAGCAGCCCGGCGGGCCGCGACATTTGCCGCCGAGCCAGATTTTTCCCATAGCCGCGCGCCGTGTGGTAATGTGATCTGAAAAACGTCATGCGAACCTTTAATGCCACTGCTGTCCGACACAATCAATCTTGCGCCATGCATATTTCAGTGTTTGCCGCGCCCCCCCCCCCCTCGGGGCGGCAAAGGGGGCGGCGGAGTGGGGTCGGCAGAGAGGGCGGGGGAGGGGGGGCGGCAAAGGGGCGGCCCATTGACCCGGACGGCATTGTGCCCCCCTCCTCGTCCTCCGTTATGCCGCCAGTTTCTTTTTTTCTTTTTTGAAGTGGATGAAATGACCCGCGATGAAAGCGGTTTCCGCTCACAAGCGATAAGCCTCCGTAAGCCATAGAGAGACCCGCCCCGGGGGGGAGGGAGAGAAATGATCACGTGACTCAGCAAACACAACGGAAGGGGCGGAAAACACCACACTCTACACCACACCATCGCACCGCACGCAAACTCAGGGACGAAGGAAAGGACGGGAGGGGTCATCGTGGATCCCGGGAGCACGCCGACGACCAGCAGCACACGCAGTTGATCAGGGGGGCCCTCGGGCCCCCCGTCGCCGGCCAGCACCTCGCCGCCGGCCCTATGCGCTTGGCGCAGCCTACATTCCAGCTTGTTCTCGTTTCCACGATCCATCGTGACGAAGAGACGCCTCGCCATTATGCCCAATAATACCCCACATCACATCACATGACGGCGGCGTCGGGACGCGCGGACGGCTCGGGTCGACGCCAACGCCGCCGCCGCCCCCGCGCCTTGTGCCGACGCCGACCTGGGCTATGAGACGAGTCACACGTCACACATCACACGCGCGTCAGAAAGAAAGAAAGATGGGGAGGGAGCGAGGGGGGTGAGACACGCCGCTGTTTCGCGAGTCGTTATGAGAAATAAATAGGAACAGGACGGGTTAGGCCGCCCCGACCGCCCCGCCCCGTGCCGCCCTATATGCCAGTCCTACCTCACGGTGGAGACGGTGCTGTGCGAGACTCGGCCGGCGGGGGCGCCCGGCCAGCAGGCAACCCATCCGGCGCCTGCCGCTAGCGGGCTGCGCGACACTGGGCGCCTAGCCGCTGGGCGAGGGGCATTCCCTTCAGGGATAAAAATGCAACACACAAAAAAAAACTTAACTTCGCGTTGGAAAACAAATAAATAAGGGAACGAAAACGCGGAATAAATCAAATGGCAGTCATGACATGCGTGGAGATCCATCTCCCAAAGCTTACCAGTCGCTTCATTAGCAGAGAGATGATTTTGCTGAGGCCTGAGGCGCATCCATTTGCACCTTCAGGATGTTGAGCGGATACGGTTCTCCAGCAGAACATCTGAAACAAAATAAAGTATGCAATACGGTTAGGAGAGGGAATGACATAAATCAATTCTCATGATTGGATCAACGGTTCTCCAGCAGAACATCCGAAACAAAATAAAGTATGCAATATGGTTGGGAGAGGGAATGACAACAGATCAATTCTCATGACTGAATCAACAGCTCTCCAGCAGAACATCAGAAACAAAATAAAGTATGAAATACTGTTGGGAGAGGGAATGACAACAGATCAAGTCTCATGAAGCTGAAGAAGAAAAGTTTCCAGCAGAAGTTAGAGGCAAAAATGAAAACACCTTGCAGTATAAAGCATATACACACATTTTTTTCTCTAGAATACCGTTTACATAACTAATGAAAATCAAGCTCCCATAAAGCAAAAATATTGTAATCAGGGTAACGATACACTACTTGTATGATAAAATTCATGATATAGAAAAAGATCAGGAACCTCTGACAATTCAAAGATAACCTACTGTGATGGGTATACAGAGCAAGCAGACAACCGGCATCAGAAGATAACCTACCTATCAAAAAAGATGAAAATCACGCAACAGGTTGTAGGTTAAAGGTTCTCCAAAGTTCAAGGGGGTCGCAGTGCTCCAAAAATAAAGAGAATCAATGTATAAACACGCAAAGTTGCGCAATGTACTTACTTCGAAAGCTTCAAGATCCGCGACACAGGATGAGGCACAGCCCAACCCAGCGGCCTGCAGGTGATGCATGATGAAAACGAAATCCAGGTTTGTCACACGACACATTTTTAACGATATCGTATGTAAATGAAGCATAAAGTACTACACCCCCAGAAATAACTAACCAAAAATAAGTCATTCTACGATAGATAATTGTTCTACGATAGATAATTGATTGATTGAAACACTGCCGAAATCTACGCCCCCGCGAGCCGCGGTACTCAACGAAAACGAAAACAAACAAAAGAAAGCGCGCGCCGTGTCCGTGTGGCAAAGCGCCACTCTGTTTGAAATTTGAAAAGTTGTCGGAGACCATAGAAAGGAATCCCATTATTTCAGAGTTAAGAGAGGGCCCACAGTAGATGTACAACAAAGCCTAATGTAATCCGTTACGTTCACCCGTGCCGCGGGGTAGCGGGCAGCAGTGTAGTAGGCGCTGCGCGGGGTAGGTCACAGCGGACACCCCCCCCTCTCCCCTCGCCGCCCCTCGGTTACGCCCCTCGCCCTCCGGAGCCCGGAGTCGCTGACAAGGAGGTGATGATCTCGTGACTGGGCCGACCCGGCGAAATAAAAAGATGGCAGCAGGTTAAGACACCTCCGCGTCCAGCCCGAGGAGGGGCGGCAGGGGGCGCCAGCGGGGCGCAGAGCCCGCAGAGCACGCGAGGTGCTGGAGCGCCCCCCGACACTGGAGCAGTCAAACCGGGGAAAAAAATTACGTTTCATCGTAAAGTAGTAAAGAAGTTGAGTGGGGGGAGTACTCGAACCGACAACCTGTCAAGTGGACACAAGTGAAGCATGCTATTTGACGTACGTAAGGGGAAACCCCCTCCCC